CAAACCTCCCAGGAGCCCTGTAGACACCCACCAATATCGTAATGACATGACTGCCTTGGTTGGGGATCATGAGGGGATTCTATGTCCCACTGCGTAATTCTGGGGTTCCCTCCTTTAATAGCGGGGGTGTTGCAAGTAGCTCTCACCCCTAGACCCTAACCCCAGACCCTACGGAGGGATGCAGGCCTGCTGGCAAGAAGGCGGGCTCGCAGAAGGCCAAGCCGGCTCTGCTTGAACTTCCGACTTCTGGGCGGGATCGTTTTTTTGTTGCGGCGGAGGGGTGGTCAGGGTTCAGTTTTAGGGATTGGGTTTTAGGCTTTTGGGCCCGACATGTCATTGGGGTTATAGAAGGATAATTGAAAAGAAAATGGAAGCTACAACGTTAATGTGGGACCCTCTTTAATCTTGGGGGCCCCCCCCTCCCGCCCCCCTAACAATACGCACACCAGAAAAAAATGGGGACCCTGAATAAGGAGCCAAAATCTCTGTCTCAGGTAGTAAGGCTCTGGTGAATAGATTATAAAGGAATGCTGAAGGGTCTGGGGATTCTCGCAATATAAAGGCATTCTAAGGGCTCTGGGGATTACCAAATTGAGGATGACTATGAGTAAATTATAGAAGCATTCTGAGGGCTCTGGGTATTATCCAACTGAGGAGATGACTAGGGGTCTGGTGAGTAAATTATAAAGGAATTCTATGGCTGATAGACTAAAGCTTTTAATCCGTTATCTCTTTTATTTGAATTTGCATATTTTTCTTGCACGGCCCTGGGGCTCACAAACAATGGTAATTATTCAGGGTCCGGGCATCTGCTGGACTACCCCCTTTGCTGAAATGATTTTGGACTGGATTCGTAAGGTTTTAGAATAGGGTTTTTAATGAAACTGAGCGGCTTCGGGCTTCAGATTCGGTAGTTCAGTGGATTCCAGATTTCTGCGGTGGTTGAGCGGGGAAAGGTTTTGGAAAGGGTTTCCTTCTAAGATCTACATCTGTCACGCCTGAGCGGGGAAAGGTTTTGAAAGGGTTTCCTTTTAAAATCCTGTTTAAATCCCTGAAAACCTTTTTTATGCTCCTATATTTTTAGGGCCGCAAAACCAAAACACTTTGAACAGGACCTTCCCAACAATAGCCAGATCCTGAATAAGCGGCGGCAAAAAACACACTAAACAGGGCCTCTTCACTAAAGTGAGTGCAACAGGGGTGTGTATTAGGGTCATTATAGGGAAAACGGGTATATTATATTCTGAAGGGTATGTACAAAGATTATTTTCCCTTGTTCCCTACTCAGAACCAGCAAGAAGAAGTTTCTCAGGATAAGTCTGTACAGAACTGGGCTCCCTGCCAGAGCATCTCCAAACTCCTCTTGCGTGAAGATCGCCACTCCTGACATCCATCTAAGATCATCCAAGCAGGTTGCTTGGTGCGCACAAGGAACAACACAAGGGCTTGCATGACAAGCTCGCCCTGGCATATGATCGGCTATTGGGGTACTGTTGGGATACTATGGGATTTGGGATAATGCTGGGATACTATTGGGGTGATATTGGGATTTCCCTGTAGGGCCCAGACACTCTCGAATCCTTAAATCCCGTAAACCCGTAAACCCCTAAACCAAATGATTCATTGCTCAAGAGCCTCGCAGCAGGGCCAGTCGCACCCCTTGACCAAAGCCGCCATCGAGCACGGCCTCATCCTTGGAATCTCAAAAGTACCATGTAGGGCTTAGGGCTTAGGATTTCAACCCTAGACCCTAAAGCCTACACCCTAAATTGTAAATAGTAGTTTCCATTCCATTTTCCACTATCCCAAAATAACCCCAATATAGCCCTCATGCATCCTTGGAATCGCTGTGGCATGCCCTTCAGCTGGCACGACAAGCGACCTCCAGCGGTCTGTTCTGGAAGAGCAGCCTGGGCAAGCTGCGATCACTGGTCACGTGGTCATAGTAGAGTTACATTGGGATAGTAGAAAATGAAATGGAAACTACTCCCTGCCGTGGACAATGACCATGGACTGATTGTATCAACTCTGACTCTAACTTGGAAGGCTTTAGCTCATCTAAGTCATGGTTCAACCCCCACACCCTGCAACAACAAAGCTCCTTCACGCGTCTTCATGCAGAGAATCCACAGATCTGTGTACCGCTTCGCATGCGGGCAACCAAAAGCTCAAAATCAAATGGAAAACGACATGGAAACTGGGAGTATGTAGTGGTTCACTCATCCAACCGAGACTGATAGGATACAACCTGCAAATCTCACGACGAGGAGCGGAGGCAATCTCTTCTGTTTTGCCGCTCACGCTGACCGATGAATAGCCTGAACCATTCTCGCTAATTTAGAATTGTGTACTCGACATGTATAATGAAAATCAAACATCTGATCTGACCAGCAGGCGCATTGCAAGCCAAGCAAAAAACAAGATATATCCAACAGAGCCTGCACCCACGAGACTTCAGCAAAGTACGACTGCAACCCTCCTCTACAGAGCCTCAGCTCTGCAGAACCACTGTAAAAGCTTCCAGGGATTTTACTTGCATAGACTCTTCCAAGTCTGAAGTAAGGATGAGGTCTTGCTGGAAGGCAAGGAGCTGAGCCTCTGGCTGGATCATCCCCCTCCTCCAAAACGTGCTCTCCAGAAGTGAGCTAAACCTGACTGCTTGAAAGACCAGCAAACACTTGTCAACTGCTCTGATCCGCGGAGTCAGCTTGGGCACCTGCTCACCTTATCTTTTGGAGCCGTGCAGATCACAGCACGTCTAAGGAATCGGGAAAGTCGTGAAGCTCTGAAACATCACTGGCAAAGTGTGGATGCCTGGATGTCATAATGACTACTATTATTGCAATTGGTAAATTACTACTATTCTGATTACTCCTAGTATTGCTGGGTTTAGATTACTCCTATTCTTTTTGCTAGGATCATTGCCATTATTAGAACCCCACTCTGCTTTTGTACTATTATTCATAGCAGTCACTTGTCATTACCTCGCCAAGGCACGGCCCGCCAAAGCCAGGATCTCGTCGCCCGTGCGAATGCCTGCCAGCTCCGCCCATGCAAGGGTTCGAACAATAATACACACACTAGTGATCACTAGTGATATTCATAGTAGTAAGAGTAATAATAATCGTAATTGTGATAACAGCAATGTTAATAACACTGACAACAATGGTAATTAATGATTCCGGGAGCGACTACTTTGAAAGGAACACTCGATTCGAAAGGGGTCGCTAGCTATGTGTCTATCGCGTCAGTGATGCATTCTTCGAGCTCTGGCACGTGAAACGTGGGCTTTGAAACAGAAACCTAAATCCGCTGAAGGTCTTTTGCTCGGACTCGATGGCAGCGTCACAGAAATTTGTTGGTCAGCGGAGTCTTGGCACAAAGCTCAGTGGCGATGCAACTAATTGCAGGAGCTGTTGCAAACATGTTTGGACCACAATTTCGATACGTCAAAATAGATAAAATTCGTATTGGCCTTCAGCCTGGCATTGGGCTGTGTTTCATGGTTCTTTCCTTGCAGCAGGACTGAGCTTGCAGATTACATTCTAGACTTTGCGGGCCGGTTCAGGGGCATCGCCCGATGATGGCCTCGGATGGTTCATTTCCAACGAGGCTCCCGGCCGTCATTTATGGCGCAGGAGGAAAGTGTGATACCGGTGGCCTCTAAGGTGCCTCGGCTGTCAGCTATCCAAGGGACATTCCTTACTTAAACGTAGAGACTTGAATTCCTTCCGAAACTGTATCCATGATTTCTTGTGGCGGCAAAGGTCCTTCTTGATGAGAGTCTTGGGCCTTCGGGATATGGGCCGCTTTCCAAAGGAACGTACCTGCGTCTCGATGGCGTTCAACGCTGCCCGAGAGTAAAGCGTACTATGCAGCAGCGTATACACTTTCGTGTCCAGTGTAACTACCGTACCATGAGCATGCCAGGAAGCGCAGCCGTGCAAGCGTAGTACTACATCACGAGGACCGCGCAAGGCACGTTTTTAGATTGACATGCTGTGACATGTTGATGGTGACATACGAGATATGACGACAAAGGACGCGTAGATGAAAGCCTAGCATACAACAGCGAATTCCTGAGGAACTTTGGAAAGGGAGGGCTTGGTAATTGCAGCGTGCAACACAGCCTTGCGCGGCCCGGATTAGACTTCCATCCACGTTCCTGCAACATCGAGTTGGCCCGCCCTAGCCTAGAAGACTCTGAAATCAAAATGCTGCCTGTTATGCAATTGTAGTATAACCCCGGGTGCGCGCTGAACGCGTGTGAAACCCTACTCTGGAGGCCCTCACTGCTTGCGCCGGCGGCGCGTCTGCAGCCATGGGGGGACCAAGGCCTTAATTGAAATCTGTTTTTGAGCGTATGCAAATTTAAAACACAAAAATATTCCATTTGTGTTCCACGGAATTATGTTGAAAGGATAACCAGGTAGTTCCCATAAATACGCGGACCCCAATATAGCTCAAAATACCACAGTCTTTATTGTAGAGACCCACAAAAGGGTACACAACATTTTGGGAAAGGTTGCCAAGAGCTGCCAGGTTGCAGGGGCTTTCTCCTCGGGCTTCGGCGCCTCCTCAGGCTGCTTCTCTGCAGGCTTTGGCTCTTCCTCCTGCACTTTAAAAAGGGTTTTGAAGCTTAAGGATTGTTTTTGGTGTTTTGCTTTGCCAGGATTGCCAGGTTGTAGATTACCTTGAACTCCGTGAGGCCCTCAAACTGGCTGCTAGGGGTCTGTTTTGCATTTTGATGTGCTTGCAGCGCCTGTTCACACACCCACAATTTACAGCTAAAGCAGCATAGCAAAATGGTGCAACATAGGTGTATACAAGACAAGTACACTGTGGCAGCATACGAAAAGAGCTGTAAAAAGAATCTGTAATATAAAAACTGCGCAACTAATTTAAGTATACATACAAATGACCCGATTAATGGAGCTGCTTCAGCCTTTATCAACCCTGCGGACCTCGTAAAGTGCATGACTACCAAAGAGACCCTCAAAATGAAATATTGAGGGCACGTAAAGCATGGTACTTCCCACTTGATGATTCCTGGAACTTCAGGGCTGATTACTTTCCAACACACAACGGATATAGAGGGTTATATAGGGAATATAGGTAATGTAGGGATAATGGAAAAGAAAATGGAAGCTACTGTTTAGGGTTGAGTTTCCCAAGCTGGCTTTTTCTAGATTAACTCGATTAGATGGACAGCCGTGCTATAGCCTTCAACTACAAGTGCTTGCTGAGCGCCTTGACCAGTCAACAATCACGCTGAAAATGTTCACCCTCTCTCACCTCCAGGCTTAGCTTCCCTCGCTTGTCAAGCGTCGAAACTTTCAAGCCCAAAACAACAGTGTTACCCTTGCATACTCCGGCCTTCTGCTTCTGCGTGGCCTCCTCCTGATGATCTTCCGCATCCTGCTCATTGCGTGTGGCCTCCTCCTGCACGCCATCTTCGGCCTCCTCCTGGTCATCATCTTCCGCCTCTTCCTGCTCCGGGTCATCATCTTCCGCCTCTTCCTGCTCGTCTGCCTCCTCTAGCTCATCTTCTTCACCCTCCTCCTGCACGCCATCTTCAGCCTCCTCCGGGTCATCATCTTCCGCCTCTTCCTGCTCGTCTGCCTCCTCTAGCTCATCTTCTTCACCCTCCTCCTGCACGCCATCTTCGGCCTCCTCCGGGTCATCATCTTCCGCCTCTTCCTGCTCGTCTGCCTCCTCTAGCTCATCTTCTTCACCCTCCTTCTGCATGCCATCTTCGGCCTCCTCCTTCACGCCATCTTCGGCCTCCTCGTGCTCACTCTGCTCGTCCGGCACCTCCGACACCTTGCCTTCCACCTCCTCGTTCTCATCGGCCTCTGCCGGCTCGCTTTCCGCCGCCTCGTCTTCGTCCCCCGGCTCTGACGCCACTTTCGTTTCTCGCACATTTACATGCCCAGCTACGGAAACTGGGGCTTTGGCCTCAAAGCTGCCGCCGCTGCTGACCTCCGCACTTTCACTCCTCCGCTTCATGGAGGATGTGACCTCGGATCTCGACACGAACATTGCCGCATCGTTCTTGCTGCCTCCATCCATTGGCCTCGACCGCCAACTGGAGTCATTGTCGGGGCCAACATTGCCGACCCGATTGTACTTCCCGCTGCCTTTCCCAAACGGGTGCTGTCCAGGGCCGCTGTGATGGTTCAAGGACCAATGACTCTGCTGCCCGCCCATGCCTCCGGTTTGCACGGGCATCATGAGCGGTCCACTGCCTGCGTGCATCATGTGGTTTGGCTGGCCCATCTGCATGGGCATCTGCATGCTCTGCATGCCCTGCATGCCCATCTGGCCGGAATTGTTCATTTGAATCATTTGATTCACCATGTGGCCGCCTTGGCCTTGCTGCATGCCGACAGGGACATAGCAAACAATGTATCCATCGTTGCCTGTCTGCATTTGGGGCCACTGCCACTGCTGCATTCCACCCCACTGCCCGCATCCTTGCTGCTGGCTAACCCAGCCTTGCTGGGCAGGCCATCCCTGCTGGATCCAGCCTTGCTGGCCCCCCCATGGCTGTTGCTGTGGCCACGCCGGCCGCTGCATCTCGCCTCAACTATGTACACTACACTCAGGTAGCCACGAGTGCCACCCTACTTTTGCTGTCTGGCTTCGAGCCACAGCTTCAACACGTGCAATGGCTGAAGGCAAGGCTCCAAGCAAGCAAGCAAGCAAGCAAGCAACACAAACTGCGAGGGGCAAGCAAAATACGGCTGACCGCCTCCTGCTGTCCTCCGTATCCAATGTGGCTGAAGGGCGGCCCTCCTGCATAAATCAATGCTACGGCCACACAATTGTAAGATTCCAACAACGGCGTTGCAGTGCTACCCTGCAAACTCTTTCAGCCAAGTGTGTCCTACAAGTAGCGCGTCGACGTCTTGCCCTGATCCGAGCAGAGATGTTGTCCGCGCACCTCGCGATTTTGCTTCGTAGTCCGAAACTTACACACCATCACAAACGTCTACCCTCTGGCTTCGCGCGTAACACCCCGCAATTAATGTTGGGGGTTTTAGTTGAAGGCCTAGTGCCCCTCTGTTGTCTAAGCAGTCCAGTTGTGGTTCCTCTGTGAGAAGAAACCCGGAATTCGAATACTCGAGTTGAACGGTACTTCCAAGGCCCGCCTTCCTTCGGGGTCTGCACGATATGATCCAGCACAGGCTGCGCTACAGACCTTGTAGCCTGGTAAACTCCTGACAAGGAAAGATGCCGAAAACGCCAGTCTATGGACATCCTCTACAAGCATAGCACTCAGCTCCTAATTTGCAGACGGCGTTTCAGCTTTGTGGCCACATACAAAATAGGAAAGCGCCCACAGCATTTCCTAACTGATCTCCCTCACACACAGGCATTCCGACCCCAACCTGGCTTCGCAATGCTTTGACAAACTGAGTTGGGCATGAGTAACGTATCTCGCTTTGTTGAAGGGCACCGGAAGCTGTGCATTCCTGCATATTCCTGCTGCTTTGCCTTTCCCCCACCATCTTGCTATATCTTGCTCTAGACCTTCCAATTATAATGATTCTGGGGGCGACTACTATGTGAAACGTGGGCTTTGAAACAAAAACCTAAATCCGATGAAGGCCTTTTTCTCGGACTCGATGGCAGCGTCACAGAAATTTGTTGGTCAGCGGGGTCCTGGCACAAAGCTCAGTGGCGACGCAACTAATTTCAGGAGCTGTTGCAAACATGTTTGGACCACAATTTCGATACGTCGAAATAGTTAAAGTTCTTGGGATCTTGAGGTCCAGGGTTGATCCTCAGCCCGGCATTGGGCTGTTGGGGTTATGTTATGTTACTTATGTTTCATGGTTTTTTTCTTGCGGCAGGACTGAGCTTGCAGATTAAATTTTGCAGGCCAGTTCAGGGGCGTTGCCCGATGATGGCCTCGGATGGTTCATTTCCAGCGAGGCTCCCGGCCGTCATTTATGGCGC